AGCCAACCTCTTTTGTGATACATCTTTTTGAGTCACTTTCCCATTTCTTTGCATAGTCTGTCCTTTTCTTTTTGATTGGCAGCCCTTTAAATATTCTGGCTATAAACCCTTTGTCAGATGTGCATGTAAAGTTTCAGATGTTTTTAATCATGTATTTTTTAGAGTTTAAAAACTACTGAAATTTTTTGTTTCTTTTTTAACTCAAACCTATGGCTTTCATAGGGCAGAAAGAAAAATAACTGAATAATAAGAATAGCTGTTATTTATGTGAATACTTTTCTCATGCATAGACCGTATGTTCTGCAGGCTTCATTGGCATTATTTCCTCTGTCATCACAACAGTGATAACTACTACAGTTTGTGCATTCCTAATCTCAAAATCCAACACGTTCCAAAATCTGAAACATTTTGAGTTCCAACGTGACACTCAAAGGAAATCCTTATTGGAGCATTTCAGATTTTCTAATTAGGGATGCTCAGTCAGCAAGTACAGTCAGTCATCTGTATTTGTGGGTTCTGCATCCATGGATTCAACCAGCTGTGGATCAAAAATATTTTGGGAGCAGGGGGAAGGAGGGTTGTGTCTGTGCTAAAAAGGTACAGACTTTTTTTCTTGTCATGATTCTCTAAACAATACAGGATAACGACTATTTACATAGTGTTTACATTGTGTTAGGTATCACAACTAATCCAGAGATAATGTGAAGTATGTGGGAGGATGCATGTAGGTTAAGTGCAAATACTATACCCGTTTATAAAAGGCGTTTGAGGATCTGTGGACTTTAATATCTGTGGGGTGGGGGATGGGGGAGTCCTTGAACTTATAATTCACCACGGATACCAAGGGACAACTTTAATGCAAATTTTCCAAAATTTCAGAACATCTGAAATCAGAAACAGTTCTGGTCCCAAGCATTTCCAACAAGCAATACTTATGCTACTATTGGTAGTTTACTGCTAAGGAAACTGAAGCTTTTGGTGACTAATTTACTTATTTTAAGAACTTTACAGTTAGTGATTGACCTGAGATTTGAACTTGGGCTGTCTGACTTCAGAGTTGTTTGCTTAACTACTGAGTTTTCTCCCCCAGTAAATCTCAAGAATACCTGAGCTAGCAGTTTAGGAAAAGATGAAGTGGTTTTTAGAAACAAAACAGTCATTGGACTTTAGCATGGGCACATTACCTGACTTAATATTATCTAATAACTCTGTTAATAAAAATAGAGGAGTATTATAGTCTTTTATCAATGTATTTCTGAAATTTTTGAGGGGAAGATTTATTTAGTACACATCTACCACAACTGCAAGAGTTTTTGTTTTACTGTGCTTGAGGTTTGAAAGGGAATGAATGTAATAGGAAGATATTTTTGTTTTGTACTAAGTTTGAGTGTGTATAAGAGACCCAGAGTCGGCCGGGTGCAGTGGCTCAAGCCTGTGATCCCAGCACTTTGGGAGGCCGAGGCGGGTGGATCACGAGGTCAAGAGATCGAGACCATCCTGGTCAACATGGTTGAAACCCCATCTCTACTAAAAATACAAAAAATTAGCTGGGCATGGTGGCACATGCCTGTAATCCCAGCTACTCAGGAAGCTGAGGCAGGAGAATTGCCCGAACCCAGGAGGCGGAGGTTGCAGTGAGCCGAGATCGCGCCATTGCACTCCAGCCTGGGTAACAAGAGTGAAACTCCGTCTCAAAAAAAAAAAAAAAAAAAAACAACTAGGGTGTTTCAGCTAGGCATGCTAGCTCATGCGTGTAATCCCAGCACTTTGGGAGGCCAAAGCAGAAGGATCACTTGAGGCCAGGGGTTCAGGAGTGCCTTGGGCAACACAGTGAGATCCCATCTCTACAAAACACTTATTTTAATTAGCTGGATATGGTGGTACACACCTGTAGTTTTGGCTATTCAGGAGAATGCCCTGAGCCCAGGCGTTCGAGGTTGCAATGAGCTATGATTGTGCCACTGCACTCCAGCCTGGGCAACAGAGTGGAAAAAACAAGAACTAGGGAGTTCCTAGCAAAGAAGTATTTATTAGAACTTGTTTTTTTGAAGTAATTGACATAATTATATAATTTTTATGAAAGTGATACATCCTTATAATTTTAAAATTTTTAATTCAGAAAATACAAAAAATAAAAAAAAATTACTCAAGATTACCAAAGAGATTACCTGAGATAATGTTTGGTAAACATCATTTCAGATAGTATCATGTTATTTTAAAAATAAAAGTGTTATACTTGATTTTAGTGAATTAAAAAAGAGTAACTCATGAATCTGCTTCTCTCTGGACTATGTTTTCCCGTATTGCCATTTGGGACAGAGGTGGGTAACTGGTGGATTCAGCTGAGCACTGACCCTCTCCCTTTCCTTGACAACCCTTTATTGGCTTTACAAGCATAAGATTCTTCTGGCCATGTGTCGTTGCTGTGAATGAATTACTTTCTTGCTCTCTTTTTGTTGTTAATTTCTTTTGGTTTTAAATTTAAGGTAAGAAATTGTTCCTTCTGTGTTCTATCTTTATCTAGAATTCCTGGCAAATAGACTTTAACTGTGTGGTATTTACTGTCTCTGTTTTAGAATATGTAGAATAACAAATGAAGGATATCTTGAAATGTTGCAAAAAACTGTTGGTCTGAGACATTATTTTTGTCTTTTGCTCTTCGGGTTAACTATGTAGAAAATAGTAACTATTTTTTGTTAATTGTTTTGCTTTTTACTTTCACAGATTTGTATATTGTATGTTGATGTGGCCTAAATCATTTATAGTAAAAGTGGTTAGCTAGTCTGATTACATAAGTTACTCAACAGCAATAATTAGACCACCTTATGCGCATCTCCCACAGCATAAATAGGACTGCTAATTAAGTGCATTTTATTAGTGATTCTTTATTGACATTGAATTTTTATATTATCTCCTTAGTGCTAGGATTTATGTGAAACCAGTCATCTACATATTATAATTGAGAAGTCCTGAGCAAAACTTACTTTGCTGTATCTTCTATTTTAGTTCTGTGGACTGAGGCTTGCCCTTTCTCTCACTGATGTCCTGTACTGTTACTAATACTTTAATATAAACTGTGATGTGTCCCTGTGCAGGCAGGTCCGCAGCATGAGGATTTTGGAGCTGTAGAATTTGGAGTTAGGAGAGGAATGAAGGATTCAATACACCCTATTCTCCCACTCATCTTCCCAAGGGGGTGAGTTAACTCTTGCACAGAAAAGGAAAGTTTGGAAAAGAAGAGGACTGCTAAGGCAGATTTTCCCCAGGGCTGATCCTTGCAAATGTTTGCAGTCTGTAGAGGCAACTGGTAACAACTATATAGCTATCTCTAGGATGCTTTTGCTGCCCTTTCAGATAGAAACTTCTGCATTTTTGTATAACATGAACGTCATAGCATTGCTTACTTTGTTTAGGCAAAAATACTTGTTTCATTGTATATTGGAGGAGGACTTCCAAAATTAATATGAAAATGGAATGGGACAAGAGAAATTGCATTTTAATTAAGGTATCTTAATTAAAAAAACAAGTAATGTATATGATTTTAAGTCTTCTTTGAATTAGGTAATGCTGAGAATGGAGTTAAGAAGATAACAGAGTGCCTAAAGGGTATGTGGCTAAAGCTAATATAGGAACCTATAAGGAAAGAAAGAAGTAACAGATCTTTTAGAACAACAGAATGTTTTTCAAACTAGGTTTTAATTCTCTTGAATAGTAGGCCCAGAAGAGGGAAAGAGTAATTTATAATAGGACTTCGAGCGAATTCTATAGAAAAACAAGTTGGTTCTGTAAGGGTTATTGCTGAGTTTAAAATGAGGAAACTGAGGCCAGTGTAAGAAAATGAAAATCCAATTTATTCAGCTCCCGGGCGAGGTTCCATGGTCCCAGGGAAAGGGGCCAGGGAAGTCGCGCCAACTTCCTGGGGCGTAGGGTTTTTATAGGTAGGAGGAACGAGCAACAGCTGGGTGCTCTGATTGACTCCAGGGGAGCGGGATTGAGACAGCGTGGGTTTTCCGCTGGGAAAACCGGCCAGGAGCCTTGCATCAGCTGGAGCCTTCCAGGGGAGTCCTGCGGCAGAGCTAGGTGCCGAGTGCAGAGCCTGGTGCCGGGTGCAGAGGTGGGCGTGTCCAACCTCCCGACCAGGCAACTGGCCTTACAGGTTCTGTTGGCTGCATAGAGAAAGTTTCAGCTTTATTTCAGGTTGTATTATCTATAGTTTTCTCAGTATTTTAAGTTGTTTTTATAAAAGAGGTCTGAACTTAGACTAAACTAAAAGCAGGTTTTAATTGGGAGTTAGAAAGGGCCAGGTACAGTGGCTCACCTGTAATCCCAGCACTTTGGTAGGCTGAGGTGGGTGGATTGCTTGAGCTCAGGTGTTTGTGATCAGCCTGGGCAAGAAAGCGAAACCCTGTCTCTACTAAAAATTAAAATAATCAGTCATGGTGGTGGCATGTGCCTGTAGTCCCAGCTACCCTGGAAGCCGCGGTGAGAGGATTACTTGGTCCCTGGAGACGAAGGTTGCAGTAAGCCGAAATTCTCCGGGAAAGAATAGTAGTTAGGGGTGTAGATGAGAGGATTAGATGTTCATTATTCATCTGTTGATCTTGTTCTCTCCACCTCGTAGCATGAAAGGTCTTTTTCATTCTTAATCCCTTTTTCACACTATAATAAAATATACAGAAACACAAACTGATGAAGTCTATGGGAACAGGTCTGCCATAGGTTAATATTTCAAGTAGAAGTATGTTTTTACATAGGCTCTTAACTATTATTTTAGGTGATATAACTATTTTCCACTGCTAGCCTGTGGACTGTTAACTGTATGGTCAAAAGGTAGTCCTGATATAGCAAAACATGAAAAGCACTGCATTACCATGATAAAAGTGGTTCTCTTACATGGGGAATAGTTGTTTGTTAATGACAGTGCAGTATTGACAAATTTATCTTCATGATGCCTCTTTTTCCATGGTTTTATTATAATGAATCTTACTTTCTTGTTCTAGGCTGCTGAAAATATGACAAGCTGACTTTCTGGAGAAATTCTGATGAGATATGTCAAGCTCTGCAAGAAGATTTGAAGATTGCATTGTAGTCAAGAATGTACAATGAAATTACTGCATGCAGCAGTGTAGAAAAATTTTCCTTTTTAAAAGAATTATAAAACCATAGCTTTATAAATCAGTGGAAAGTGGCTTACAGAGATAACTATCAGATGTGTTTACATCACATCTTATTCACTTTTTTTTTAAAGGCTCTAATGCTTTGGCATTGCTGTGTCCATATTTATATATTCCTTATTTATAGCTCTGATAGCTTTAATTTTCTAAGCAGTCTGTCTATCACATGTGCGTATCTGCTGTGCCTGGCTGAAGCACAGTGGAACCCATCAGTAGTAATGTGTAGTAGTTATGACTTGTTGACATTTCCATTATAAACTTTAATTTTGAATTGTTTATGCATTATAACTGTGGATTTATATTGTATTGGGCTGAAAGTTGACAGGATTTCAGCCACCATTTGTGAATTTTGATTTAGATTCATTATGTATATCAGAATCTTGTTTTTTAAATAAGAGCATAGAAAACATTTCTTGTAATCTGCTCTTTAACAAAGAATATTTTGTTTTTTAAACAGTTTGTTGGGCAGCTAATAGTGTGAACCAGGTCATTTTTGTATATAATTAAAATTTTAGAAACTTGGATTTTAAAAGTAATGACAATGCTTAGGTTAGTATTGTTTGTAATTCGAATTATTTACATCTAATGAGGCTGTTAGTTGAGAATGTGTTCTTAAAGTTTTATACCCTATAAATGGAGGCCTAAAAAAAATAATGTGTAAAATGAAACATAGCAAACATGCAAAATTCATATTTACTTTTATTACATAAAAGTAATTTTTGAGTATTACCTAATAAATCTTGAATGCTTATTTAATAAATTATTAGGTGGGTGATGTGTTTCAAAAGATATTTGCTGTTTTTTGAAGAAATAAGGACAGTCATTAAACGTAACTAAACAATCAGATATTCTATATTAGGAATCATAAGTATGGCTTTTTTTTTTTTAACCTTCTTAATGGATTATAAGTATGGCTTTTTGGAATTATTTTGTGTGTCTTTATTTTTGCCCTTAAAATTTTAACTTGTCAAAATGAAGATTCAAAGATAAATTTTAGAAAATGTAGAATAGTATTGATTCTGTTCCTGTAACAGAATCTCAGTGGAGTTTTTTTGCAAAACTAATATGGATTTAATCTGATTTTATTACTTATTAAATTTTAGATTTTGTTAGGTACCATTTAAATGATTATATAAGCATTCCCTCTTTAGTAGCATTTTTTTGTTTTCCAGACAAACTGAAGTGCTTTTAATAAGATTTGGTAATATTTAAATAGCAACCTTCTCAGCTATTTTTTTTCTTTTTAATGTAGAATTTTGTCCATTTTGACTTTTTAAATGTATGGCATCTTTACCAAGTGAACTGGAAGGTCTGTTACTGGTAGAACAGGTTGAGGAGGCAGTAGGAATATGTGAAAAGTCATTTGATGGATAGTAAAACACTACAAATACTACTGTTTTTTATAAAATCGTAACACTTTTGTCAAACTCCAAAATTTGTATATACTTTCAGGCCATAAAAGTTGATAGTATTATTATTTATGACTTTGTAGACTGAGTTATTTATGTATGAAACAAAGCAGGAAAATATGTTGAGAAGGGATTGTGTTTACAGAGGACTTCTTTAATGTGTCACATATTTAAAATGTAAACATATTTTTAATGCATACTTAAGTAATATTTAAGAAACTAAACAAAATGATACAATTGCAGTGTTGTGCTTGTTGTCAATGACAAAAATAAAACCATTTTGGTGGTATTGGCCTGTACTTTTGTTGTAGCATATGCTTTTGTTAATTCAACTTGTGTTTCTATAGGGCAAAAGATACAGAACATAAAATTTACCATTTTCACCTTTTTTTTTTGAGACAGAGTCTTACTCTGTCACCCAGGCTGGAGTGCAGTGGTGCGATCTCAGCTTACTGCAACCTCTGCTTCCTGGGTTCAAGCGATTCTCCTGCCTCAGCCTCCCAAATAGTTGGGATTATACGCGCCCGCCACATTACCTGGCTAACTTTTTATATTTTTAGTAGAGACAGGGTTTCACCATGTTGGCCAGGCTGGTCTTGAACCTCCTGACCTCAAGTGATCCACCCGCCTCAGCCTCCCAAAGTGCTGAGATTACAGGCACTGAGATTTGTGAGTCACCACACTTGATCCTTTTTAACCATTTTTAAGTTTCATGGTTTAGTGACATTGAGAATATTCACATTGTATTGGAACTATCACTATTGTCCATCTCTAGAACTTCCTTATTATCCCAAACTGAAACTCTATATGTACCTGTTTAGCACTAACTCCCCATTTCTTCCTCCTCCCAGTCCTGGTAAACATTTTCCTACTTTTTGTCAATGAATTTGACTCTTCTAGATACCTCATGTAAGTTGAATCATATTTGTCCTTTTGTGTCCATCTTATTTTACACAGGATGTTTTCAGAATCTATCCATATTATAGCATGTATCCAGATTTCCTCTTTAAGGATGAATATGTCTCTCGTGTGTGTGTGTATATATATATATATATATATATATATATACACACACACACACGAGAGACAGGTATTAGTTTATATATACATATATATGGTGGACATTGGGGTTGTTTCTACCTTTTGGCTATTGTGAAAAGGCTATTCGCAGTAGCAACAATGTTATGGACATGGGTATACAAATACCTGTTCAGGTCCTTTTTGTCAGTTGTTTGGAGTGTATACCTAGAAGTGGAATTGCCAGCTTTTGAACATTCTCTAAGGTTTGACTTGAATTCTGTAGGCATTTGAGAAAGGAGGAGATATGATCAAGCTTTTTTGGGAGTCGCTTTACTAGTGACATGTGGGCTGGATTTGAGCAGGGGGAGACTGGAAGCAGGGACTAGTTAGAAATTGTGACAGTAACCCAAGCCTAAATGCTCACATCAGGGTAGGTTCAACAGATATTACAAAAAAACAAAAACATGGGACTTAGTGACAGGTTATGGGGAAAATAGAGAAGAAAATAAGGTGACCGAGTTTCTAAACCTGGGTAACAAAGATGTGATTATCAGCAAATGGAAATCAAGAGGGAATCTAATTTTCCCAGAAAAACGATTTTTATTTGAAGAATATTGTGTTTAACATATATGTTAAATCTTAACCCTCAACAATCTTCCAAAGACCCTTGCCCATCTCCATTGTTTGCCCTACAGCATTACCACTCTAACACAGTATACAATTTACTTAGTTATATCTATTAATATAAATAAATAGACTGCTACCTGAAAGAGCCCCACAAGGGCAGGGATTTTTCTTTGTTGTTTCCATCGATGTATCTTAAGTATCTTGACGACTGCCTAGCACATAATAAATAAATACATGTTGGCTGAATGAATGGATCGACTGGGCATCTAGGAAACAATAGGTACCATGTGATTGAAAAATAAATAACATTGAGAACTTGCTGCATGCAAGGCACTGGTTTTGGTGCTTTGAATATATTAAATTGTTTAATGTTTGGGCTTACAGCAACCACAAGAGATAGATAGCATCATCCCATTACAGGTCAGGAAGGTGAGGCACAAAGTGACAAGACAAATCTCAGAAGTGGTAGAGCCAGGATTTGAACCCTGGTAAACTGAGTCTGGAGCCCACACACCTTACAACAAAAAGATCTCTCATTTATGAAATTCAGTGTTGGGCTCATATGTATCAGATTGGAGTACTGTAAATGTTGTAAAAAAAGGTGGTGCATCTGACAGCCCTAAATAGCAGTCTCAGGAAATCTGTTAACAAATGACACTCTGGACACTCTGTCCCTTAGAATAGAGCAGATTTTTTTTTTTTTTTTAATGGCCCAGAGGTCTTCTATTTCAAAATCTATTATGCCATGAATTCATAGGGAGTAGGTTCCAGCAGCTCAGACTCCTTCCCATTGGTTCTCACACAGTGTGCTGCTCTGGGTGGGGCAGGTTGGCGCTTCAGTTGCACCCAGGTGCCTTTCTGTTTGGCTTTCCTTTTCTGATTATTTTCCTTCACACGTTTCAGGAAGATGTCTCAGCTCTTAGAGTGCTTAATGTGTTCAATACACACATTAATTCTCTTGGCAAGAATCTTGCCCTTAACTTGTTTACAACACTGCCAGCAGCATGCTGGGTAGCATTGTAGACTCTTCCAGTTTTGCCATGGTAACACCTGTGGGCATTCTTTTCTGAACAGTACTCATTCCCTTGACGTCTACGATACCACCTTTTTTTGTAGATTTCGCATATACGTGGCCGAAGGAACAACTCCATGTTTTCTAAAAGGCCTAGAGAACATTTGCAGGTGCCTCTCCTCTTTCCCTTTGTGTTCGTCATTTTGGCAAATTACTGGAAGATGGCAGTTCCAGCCGAAAGGCCAGAATATTGAGGTATCGTATAGCTCCCCAGCAGCTGAGTGGACATGCAGGCATGTTATATCAGAAGCAGTCCAAGCTATCACCTCCGATTACCTAAAGCCGTAAATTGCCAGATGTACACTTGAAGAGTTACATCAAAAGCCTTTAAAGAGGTTGTTCAGATAATTATACTTTCACATATGTGGGAAAACTTTCACCTGCTAAATTTTTTTTAGAGGTGAATCTACCTGCTCTCCTACCAGTAAATCACCTTTTTATTGTAACAGCAACACCTGTATTTTTCATCTATTTTGAAAATTAAAATATCCATGACTACTTAAGTGGAAAACAACCATCATTTTCCCATAGCTATAAAAATAATTAAATATGGAATTATATCTTTGCTAGGTATTGTCTTTTAAAACTATGATTCTGACACCTACTTTTCCTTTGATAGAAGAGCAGATGAGCAAGTGTCAGAACACAGAACTGCCTTTCCTCTAGATGTTATCAGAAGGATTAGAAGAGTATAGCAGTCAGCTTCTTCACTATGGTATTTAGTTCATTTTAAATGCAATGTCCCTGTATCCCACCTCATTTTGTACCCATCCCATACTTTGGAAAACCGCTTTCCCCAAGATTCCTGTTGGTTCTAATATAGTTTAGGAGACAGCTCAGTCTTTGGTGTCAGACAGGCTTGGATTCATTGTGCCCTCTCCAAATCTGATAATAACAACATAACAGCTCATGGCATTGTGAAGATTAATTAGAGATGATGGATGTAAAATCCATAGCATACCATTTGGCACATAGTAGGAGCTTCATAAATGTTCAACTCCATTTTATGTTTTGTATAAATTAAACTTACCTAGTAACTTAATTTCAGGAGTGGCTCAGTGGTTGTGAAGTGACATATTTAAAATGTACTTTTTTTCTCATCAAAAGAATTAGACCGAATGTTTTTATAAGTTTTCATTAACTCATTTCTGGAAACATAAAATGTATTTAAATATAAGCATGTACTGTGCTTATATAGGAAGGAGGATGAAGGTCTCATACTAATAAAAATGAAAGATTAATATATAGCTAAATTTTAGTGTCAAGACTTGCATAGCTAATTAGAGAAAGGAGCCCATGGGGATGAGAATGTGTTGGGAGAAGAAGTAAAGATTATGAATAAATTTTAAATCTCTATTTTCAACATAAAAAGAGCTCATTGTTCTCAGTTGCTTCTGATAAACCCAAGTGGGAATATCCATGATCTTTGTTCCTGCTGAACACTAAGAACCATCATGTAAAATAGGAGCAAACAGCTGGCTAAATGAAAGCTTCCTTGGAAGTCTACTGATGGAAAACTGTGGGGAGCTAGGGGCAGTCAGAGAAAGAGCTCTGTAAGATTTAATTTAAGTCCTGGATAAACACCATTCCTGCTTTCACTAGCTTTACCTAATAGAAATGGATTTTATCAATCAAGGCCAAGTTCAGAGACAATAAGTGAGAGGGAGGGAGGGAGGCATTTTGCATGGAACAAAGACAAAAGTGCTTTAATTTCACAAAAACACCACTCTTAGTGTTAAAATGCAAGACCCTGGGAGCCCTAGGCTTTTAGGAGAAACTGGTGTCGACCTGACCTTTTAAGGTAGCAGACACTAAGTGTCTAGTGACTTAGATACAAATAATTGTGATGAATTATGATGATCCCTGCATTGTTACTTTCATCAGTTTGGAAAGATTTGAGAATCTGTTGAGATTTAGCAGTAAATCTGGTTAACTAGGGAGCCCCTAGGGGAACTAATTTATGGGACAGAGAAGCAGCCTTTTTTTTTTTTTTTTGAGAGGAGTTTTGCTCTGTCACGCAGGCTGCAGTGCAGTGGCTCAGCTCACTGCAACCTCTGCCTCCCGGGTTCAAGTGATTTTTTTTTTTTCAGACAGTCTCACTCTGTTGCCCAGTCTGGAGTCCAATGGCATGATCTCAGCTCACTGCAAACTCTGCCTCCTGGGTTCAAGTGATTCTCCTGCCTCATGTTCCTGAGTAGCTGGAATTACAGGCGTGAACCACCACACTTGGCTAATGTTTGTATTTTTAGTAGAGACAGGGTTTCAGCATGCTGGCCAGGCTGGTCTCGAACTCCTGACCTCAGGTGATCCACCCACCTCGACCTCCCAAAGTGCTGGGATTACAAGCGTGAGCCACTGCACCCAGCCAGAAGATGCTTTCTCACTTGGGATTTCTCAGGTCTTCTCCCATTTTCTGCACTATGTGCCAAGCTTTGTTTCTCATAAATGCAGGTCAGACATACTGAGACATTACTGCCTTTTCTGATTAGCCCCCATCACTCTAGAGAGATACAAGTCCCAGAGGTGCCATTTAACTTAAAGGAATGCAGCCTGCTAGACCTAGACCGCACAGGGTGGTAG